AAAGATTTTATTTATTTGACAGAGACAGTGACAGCAGGAACACAAGCGGGGGGACTGGGAGAGGGAGAAGCAGGCTTCCTGCTGAGCAGGGAACCCGCTGTGGGACTCGATCCCAGGACCCTGGGTTCATGACCTGAGCCGAAGGCGGCCGCTTAATGACTGAGCCACCCAGGCACCCAAGTCTATGCTTATTTTACATTAATAATTTATCTAAGCCTCTTAACCATTTCCTACAAAAGTAGTTCTTCTGTTAAGTCATGTTCAGTTGTAAAGAAGGTGATCAGCTGAGAATTTGTAGTTACAGGCTTCGATTAGAATTCTTCCTTCTCTATTTGTCCATTCTTCTGTCCTTCTCCCCACCTCCCTCCTGCTTCAGGATCAGATAGTAATTCTTTTGTGTAAGAACTTCTAAGCATATAAAGGCAGAGTATAAGCAAAGGTAGGCAAGAGTGAAAACTTGGAAGTCTACCTTCAGTTCCTCCTTCAAGTCCACCTTCTGCTCCTCTCCTTTTTCCCTTGCTCAGTAGGTTGTTACAAAACAGTGGATCAGGCATATATAGTTGTGAGTTGCATATCTGAGAATACACCAAAGGTAAATAATTCTGAATGCTGAGTTACTTTAAAAATTGAAGTCACTTTTCAGATTTGAAATATTAACTTTCAAAGTTCGAAAGTTATAGTTTCAAAAAATAAAACTTTGATTTTGAACACATTTCTCTGATTTGAAATCTAAATGAATGCAGTTTAAACATGAAATTTTGGTATTGTTTTCTTGAAATGGGAGTCAGAAAATGGTAAATTAAGGGCTTTATGAAATACAACACTTTAAATTCTGGGACCAGGTTTGGCAAACTATGGCCTGCCTGTGTTTTGTAAGTGAAATTTATTGGGCTACAATTGCACTTTGTAGTTTACATATTGTCTAAGGCTCTTTTCGTGCTGTAGCTGCAGAGTCGAGTAGTTAGACTCACAAAGCCTACAATATTTTTTATGTGGCCCTGGCCCTTTATTGGAAAAGTCAGATGACCCATCCCCTAGAGGACAGAGATTTGAGGACTGCTATAGAACTGACTTTTTTAATTGAAGTAATAAATGGCAGCAAAATCAAATGATTATTATGTTAAATAGAAACAATAATTCACAGTTGTTTCGTCTTGTCATTAGCAGCTTCTTTTTGTCAGATTCCATCTGGGTGGCTGGGTGCTGGTCATCTTCTCCAGTTGTAACATTTGATTCATGGCACCTTGTATTTTATGCACCCACTAATTCAACTTAAATATTCTGCCCATCTTTGCCCTTTTATATTTTACACCAGTGTTTTTGGTTTTGAAAATCAAATCACAGCTTATCAGGAGAGGAAACACATCGTTATACCCCTTTGGTAAACAGGCTGTTCTAGAAAACCACTGCCCCTCACCCCCACCTCAATAGCCTTAATTCTAAGGCCAAAAAATAAAGATTGCAAGGGGGAGAAAATCAGAAGAAACAAACCCATCCTTTCCCTTGACAGATTTTGAGCTTCCTATTTGGAATTTGTGTGTAATGAGTTTCTGCTATATCTGTATTTGGTGTTTAATACAAGCTTGCCTTTGCATTAAACAGGTATAAATCCATCCATCTTGTGAGACAGGACATTTCACAAGACTGACTACAGCTTAGGGATTGTCTAGGAAAATCTGAGGAGTTTGGCTAATTGATTTGTGTTAGAGAAAAGTAGCGGATACATTGTGATTTAGGTAAATGAACCCTGAGCCGAACTGAGAAACAGCAGAGCAGATGTTCCCAACCCAGATTGACTCCAGAATCGGGGCCCTCTGTTCTGTTGGATTGACTCCTGGGATTGGGGTTCAGTAATTGGGCTGTTCCGTACAGGATTAGGCATTTAAGCTAAATACAGATTCTAATCAGTTGACTTAAAAAAAGCCAAACACCTTGCTTTGAAAACCTGTGAACTTTTAGTTCACTAAGTCTCCTAGCAGACTTTTTTTATATGATACAAGCTTCATTACTCCCCCTCCGCAACCTGGGAGAATTCCCTCTTTGGATTACTATTCATTTCCCACCCCCACCGAGTGAGAATCTGCATGGGGAGTGGTTATCGCTCATGTGTGCAGGTGTCCTCTGGGATAGGTTAAAAAAGGAGCGAAAGGTGGGAGAACATCTATAGAGTTGGGAAAAATAGATGAAGTCGGAAAAAAGTGTATTTTTAAAAAGCTCTCTTCACTGATAATTGAGGTGCTCAAGCCTTTCTGTTCGTACATTTAAAATGGTAATGTTTAGGTGTTTCTTCTTTAAGTTCTTTCCTTTCCCACGGAGAAATGTCTCCATCTAGTGGCTGCTGTCTAAATAGCTGTTGGGTGCGCCGTCTCGTTCTAAGTGTAACCGGGTGAGTCCTCGCCCATCTTTGGTCTGATTCTCAGGTCATGTGCACTTCCTCAAATTCCCATGTTAAATTCTCACGGAAGTGTTTTTTTGTAGGCTGTTTCCTTTCTCATTCATCTGCATCAACAATTATTTATTGAAATCTTTTCATGTTTGTATTGGCGTATGTTAGGTAAGTTTAAAACAGTTTTGTCCATTAAGAGTTTAAGGTTTATCAGTACCTGCTTTGTAGGCTTCTGTTGTTTAATCTTATATCGAGTAGTACCATCCAGTTTTTCTTTGTAAATGCCTTTTATTCCAGAAAACTAGAGTATTAAAAGAGATTATTTTTTCCTCATTCCACAAGACGTCGTTAAGTAAGAATCAAAGACCTCTTTTGAAAGTGCAGTTTTCATAGCATGTTAGCAGGAGTAGATCACAGACTCTAGAATAAACCCTAGATTAAATCCTGGCTCTACTACCACTTACTGTGTAACTTTGGGTAAGGTACTTAGTCTTATTTCTAAGCTTTACTTCTGTAAAATGAGTCAGGGTTGTTTTGAAAAATAAAATGATCTACATAAAGCACTGAGCATAGTGTCCAGCACAGAGTAAATAAATAGGCCATAAAATAATAGAGATAGTTTCTTGTATTAATAATGCTGATTCTAATTCAAGAATCTTCAGATACCTTCTAAATCATCAGAGAAGACTGCATAGAGAACAGTATTATTTCACTGTTTTGAAAAATAACCTGAATAGATTACTTAGTTATCCACAGTGTTCCATTTCTCAGTTGGAGGGGAACTCTAAGTGTATATAATTCTACTCTGTTTTAGAATATGATTTAGTAGTGAAGTGATTTGTCCATCTTAATTTTCTTCTTTATAATATGTTGAATTGTAATCTTGCCAAACAAGGTTTTTTCCTTTGTGAAGTATGTGCCACCTGACTTCAGACTCTGGTCAACACTTGCTTATAGTGTAAAATGGAACTCCTTTCAAAGGCCTCTTTTTGTGGAAATGGTTGCAGGAAAGTCCCTTAACTTTTTTCCCATTTTCTTTCTGTTAGCTGATGGAAGTTTCTTTTTCCTTGATTCTTGTAGGTCTGATTAATTGTGTCTTATTTGTTGGGATTAGGTAGATTCTGTTGTGAAAATGCTTTTAATTCTAAAGACAGTGTAAACAAGAGACAGGTCAGGGCTACAAATAAGGCAAACTACCTGCTTTGTTTTTGTTTTTGTCTTACATTTACTCCTGTGTGGTATGGTGTGACAGCCTGCACTTCAGTAGGCAGCAAAACATTGTGTCATAAATTAGCTGACAGGGAAATGTCACTTGTTGACTCATAGGTGTAAGTTCTTTGAATGTATACCAATGCTTCCTGCACTCCTTTGACCCCCACTGTAGTATTCTTCCTGGCTTCTGTTGGGTTGCTCTTAGCTGTTTGGAGTGCTGTTATAATGTAGCAGTGAAACTTGGAAACTAGGGTAATTTGGAGGCACTTTTTCTCTCTCTGATTGATGGGATGGCTTTTCAGTGGCATATTTGTCTGTGCTTAGATAGTACTACCATTCGGGTAAAGCATCCAACTTGGGTCCTTTGCCTGCGTTGTTGCCCTTCTCTGCTAGAATCATAAGCGTCTCAGTTGGGCTGAGTATTTCATTCTTTTTCATTATGATTACATTGAAGTATCAGAGGATGATGTATATACGTTAATGTCTAATTAAAACCTCAGCATACCTGGGCGCCTGGGTAGCTCAGTTGGTTAAGCAAATGTCTGACTCTTGGTTTCAGTTCAGGTCAGGATCTCGGGATCATGAGGTTGAGCTCTGTGTTGGGTTCCGCACTGAGTGGGGATCTGCTCCTCTACCTCCCTCTCTCCCTCTGCCCCTCCCCCTGCTTGCTTTCTCTCTAAAATAAATAAATCTCTAAAAAAACCCTCAATATATCTTCTCATTTTACTGTAAATTTTTTTTTAAAGATTTTATTTATTTATTTGACAGAGAGAGAAGGCACAAGCAGGGGAGCAGCAGAGGGAGAGGGGTAAGCAGGCTTTCCGCTGAGCAGGGAGCCCGATGTGGGACTTGATCCCAGAACGCTGATCCAAAGGCAGACACTCAACCAACTGAGCCACCCAGGTGCCCCTATTGTAAATTTTTAAAAGAGTAATATAACTGTTCTTTAGTTGGGCCCAAACTGTAGTTTGTTTTGTGCTGTATTTAGTGTTTGTTTAGTAAGCTAATGAAAATAAGGTTTGTATAGCAAAGCCATTGAGCTGATCTTTATTCTGATTTTGTAATTTCTGACTCCACTATTTATAAACCTGGGGCTTGGACACTGCCAAGTTTGCTTGGATATTCTGTTATTTGTCTGTTTATATATGTAAAATGGAAGTTATGGTACTGTATGTGTATGTTTATGTTTGTTTTTATGATTTGCATATAGGATTATAATATTTCTATTTTTAAGTTTTGTTTTTTTAGCTTTGATCTGTTACTTTATAATTGAGCTCCTTTGTTGCTTGGGTTTCTCCATGATGATTATTTATAGGAATACTTTGGTGGTAATTAATGATTTTTAGTAATCACTGAAATTTTCAGAAATTTCAGAAAGTTTTAAATAATTGTTTTTTGTCTTTTATTTCAGGCTAAAGTAAATGAAGCTGTAGAATGCTTACTCTCCCTGAAAGCTCAGTATAAAGAAAAAACTGGAAAAGAGTACATTTCTGGTCAGCCTCCATTATCTCAAAGTTCAGACTTAACCAACAGCTCTGAGGCTAGTGGTCCAGAAACACCAGAAGCCAAAGTACTTTTTGACGAAGTAGCTTCTCAAGGAGAAGTAGTTCGAAAACTTAAAGCTGAAAAAGCCTCTAAGGTTAGTGTGGTATTTTGTTTGTATTTTTGTTGTTTACATTACAGGCTGTTTTCTTTGCCTGGAACACTTTCTGGCCCATCAAATCCAAGTTCTGCTCATGTATTTCAGTTCTCAACCTTTGTCTTGGGCATTAGACAAGCCTTCACTGATACTTCTCTCCCCGTCTATATTTGACTGGACATTTCTTACAAGATGCTGCCTTTCTCTGACACTGTACTTAAACACTCTGTATTTTACCTGTTGTCAGCTTCTCTAGTCCATGAGATCCCGGAGAATAGGGCCCTAGACCCCAGCAGTGCCTGGCTTATTGTAGGCCGTTGGTGCATGCTCTTTGTTCTACTCATTCTCCTGGAGCTGAGTTAGTCTCAAATGGCAAGTGTTATTTTCAGCTCTGGTGTAGTCTGTGCTAATTATATTCTCTTCATAGGGGTAGGATTTTTTGGGTACAGATTTGTGAATGGAAAACAGTACGTCATTACAGGTTTTAAAGTTTAACCAGTAATATAGAAACTTGGTTGCTGTCATCTTTATGATTATGAAGCTTTGAACATATGTAGTGTAATGGCTCCCAACTTAACTTGCGGTGGAATACATGTTACTTCCTGGTGGAAGTCCTGTGACGGTGGAAGTGTTCTGTGGCAGTTCTGTCCCACCCCAGTCACTAGCCACCTGTCCCACTGAAGACTTAAAATGTGGCTCTTGTGACTGAGGAACTGAGTTTTTCATTTTATTTACTTGAATTTAAATAGCCACGTGGCCGGTGACTCCCATTCAGACAGTGCAGTTCTAGTACTGTTTTTCAGTCCCTCTTTTGTACAAGTCTGTCCCTGTTTGTCATAGTTTCTGTTTTCAGTTGTTAGTATATTTGATGTTCTCCACCCTTAACGCATTCTCCTCTGCCTTCATTTATGTTTTCAAATCTGCTTAGGAAGCTTTGATCATTAGTGCTTAGACGGTGATTGGAATTAAATATTATCTTCTCTTTTCCTCTTTTGTTAAACTAAAGGATCAGGTAGATACAGCTGTACAAGAACTCCTTCAGCTGAAAGCACAGTACAAATCTCTGACCGGAGTAGAGTATAAGCCTGTCTCTGCCACTGGGGCTGAGGACAAAGATAAGAAAAAGAAAGAAAAAGAAAACAAATCTGAGAAGCAGAATAAGCCTCAGAAGCAAAGTGATGGCCAAAAGAAAGACTCCTTTAAAAGCCAAGGAAGTGGACTGTCATCCAGTGGAGCAGGAGAAGGGCAAGGGCCTAAGAAACAGACCAGGTAATAGAACATGGAAGCTGCATTCCAAGTGAAGCAGTTGTGAAGGAATTCAACTCTGAAATTATTTTTTTTAAAAACAGATTTTGGTTAGTTTGACTATCATGTGAAGTTGGAGAAAGCTAGAGGTATGGTGCCAGGGGATAGCTTTTGTTAATTTTCTATTCGTTTGCTTGGTTTAGGACTCTCAGAATATAAAAAGTTCGCTGAAGTCTCACTCCCATGCTTGTACCCCATCTTCCCAGTTTCTCCTACCACCATCATGAATTGGTAACCACAGCAAGTTTCTTCTGTAACCACTGAGAGATCTTCATTTGGCTACACAAGTGAAAACAAATACATATAAATGTTCCCATTTTCCTCCCTTTTAACACAGTTGGTAGCCTGACAATACTCATTGTCTTAGACCTTAAGCAAATTTTTCAGATGAAAATCTTTAATGGTGACTAAATGACAACTTCATTCTAGGATTTCAGGTTTGGTTAGAATAAATATAAAACAAAGCTGTTTAAAAGACAAAACAAAAAACAAAACAAAAAATAAAAGACAAAACAGTGGAATAGATGATGTTTTAGTATGTTCCAGTTCGTATGAATCATGTGATGCCCTGTCCATAATCCCCATGGCAAAATTAGAGTGAACTTTGTGCTAGCTTCCTTCAGTGGCTTAATAAAAAGAAAAACCTATCATTAGCAACTACTATTGTGAGATCTTTTTTTTGTGTGTGAGAACTTTTGGTTTTAGATTTTTTTTTTTTTAAGGTTTTATTTATTTATTTGACAGAGAGAGACACAGTGAGAGAGGAAACACAAGCAGGGGGAGTGGGAGAGGGAGAAGCAGGTTTCCTGCTGAGCAGGGAGCCCGATGTGGGGCTCGATCCCAGGACCTGGGATCATGACCTGAGCTGAAGGCAGACGCTTAACCGACTGAGCCACCCAGGTGCCCCAGGTTTTAGATTTGTTTAGCTGATTTTAAAATTCTGCCTCTTAACTCTCACATCATACATGCAATGTCTCCTTAAACAAGAGAATATAACAGTTGTTTTTCTTGCATATTGACTGAGTGATCAGATTTATAGATCACAGAATAATAGAAGAGAGAACAGAACTTCTTACCTTTTACCTTTGTTTGTGAAAAGGCCAGGTTTCACGTAGGCATCTTGTTGAGCCATGTCAAAGTGAAACAGTGGAGAAGTCAGCTATAAATACATTAATATTTTAAGCCAATAAATCCTTGTTTGTAAACTCTAAAACAGGACTAATGGGTGATTTTTTTCTATGTGCATCGTAAGACCACAGTTCTTGAATAACTATTGGTTTCAAGAAAAGGATCATTGTCTGGAATAGTTTTTTGTTGCAGATCTAACTTATTTTGCGCTAGTCTCTGCAGCTTTTACTTAGTGCAATTAAAAGAAAAATTTTAGACTGTGTAAGGATTATATCTACCTATGTATGCACACATATACACACAGCCATTGTTCTCATTACTTTTTTATGTGTTACTCTCAGTGGGACAGCAGTCTTGCTAATTATAATGTTTTCTGGATTGAATTTGGCAAAAGATTCTTCTTCTTAGCGAGAGAATTCTATGTGAATAAATTCTATCTTTATTACAAATACATTACCTTATAAAAAACTTTGTAAAAAAGATGTCTGCATTAAAATCATAGCTTTTGCTAGCTTGACTTTCCTAGTTCTTTGTGGGCAGTGTCTTAACACCTTTTAAGAGGTTAAAAACATTATCTTGGGAATGAATATTCAAGAGCGATAAATACGGAAATAACTCATATTGAAGAAACACCTATTCTGTTTCGAACTTCAGAAGTTTGTTTCCATTAAGCCTAAAAGCAGTTGATGAATGAAGGGATTCATATTTTATTTTTCCTATCTGCAGGTTGGGTCTTGAGGCAAAAAAAGAAGAAAACCTTGCAGATTGGTATTCTCAAGTGAGTATGCATTCCGTTTGTTTTCATGTTTTAAATTTCTCAAATACTACTTTGTATTTAGATTCTAAAAGTCCAGACACACGGTAATGTATGATGTTGTCAATAATATATAATATAGCCATTTAACCTGTCACAGTTTTCAAAGCATGTTCACATAAAGCAATGAATTGAGAAGTAGCCCTATGAGATAGTCATTACTCAATTTTTTTTTTTTAATGGTGCGGTAAAGAGATAATCCAAAGTCACAGAGATAGTAAACAGCAGAAGTAAGATTGGCATTCAAGTCTTAAGAGTTTAGGCTTGGTGTTTCTCACTATAGAAAAGCCCGTTTTACATGCACATTAAGGGGATGTACCAACAGTGGAAGCTTCCAGATTTGAAGCTTGGTTATCATTCACTTGGCACTTGTATTATAATTTTGGTTTAATTTAGGCTTCAAAGACTATTTTTCTTTTAAAAAGGTCATCACAAAGTCAGAACTGATTGAATACTATGATGTAAGTGGCTGCTATATTCTTCGTCCCTGGGCGTATTCCATTTGGGAATCCATCAAGGACTTTTTTGATGCTGAGATCAAGAAACTTGGTGTTGAAAACTGCTATTTCCCCATGTTTGTGTCTCAAGGTGCATTAGAGAAAGAGAAGACTCATATTGCTGACTTTGCTCCTGAGGTAAGTTAGCTTGCTTTATTTATTTTTGCAGTTATCTCTCATAAACTTAAAAGTATATTTTCAGTTCACACTTGAACAGAAATTTAAATGGCAAGACCAATTTAGAGAAATATAAAGCCATTACAAAAGATACATATGTATTTCTACCTTCAGGGGCAAGTTATGATTCTGTTTGTTACATTAACTAACTGGCTCTTACTTTTTGTAAATATTTTTAAGGACAGTAAGTATCTACTTTTCTTACCAGGAACAGCAGCAATTATTTTAACTTGCCTTAATTTCTGTAGCAAAAATTGAAATAGAGATTTGCCTGTATTTGTGCTATTTCTCTGAAATGCTGTTTAAAAAATGTATGGAAAATTATTTTATCTTACTAGGTTGCTTGGGTTACAAGATCTGGCAAAACAGAGTTGGCAGAACCAATTGCCGTTCGTCCCACTAGTGAAACAGGTGAGGGTGGGCCTTGGGGTGTAGGAGAGTGTTCATGGGAACACTAGAGATGGCTTCTAGAGTCACCTCAGTGTTGATTTTGTGATATTTATGATCCTCCTTGACAGTACACAGTTTAACGAATATTGATAAAAATGAATATATACTGAAGTTGCATAGAATTTTATTCTCAGTGCGGTAAACATTGCAGAGCTCTTTATCATTAGAATAAAGTATGTTGTTTTTTTGAAAAAACACTTTATAAGTTTGTCAACACTGATGTTTTATGCCATATTTTCTTAAAAATTTTGTTAGTCATTTTAATATGACATTTATATTTGTATAGGGTTTTTATAGGTTACTAAGTGATTTCATTTATATATTGTATTCTTACAATAGTGAGTGAGAAAGGTGGAGGGAGCAATTGTAATCTCCATTTTGCAGGTAATAAAAAAGGTCTCTGAAAGGTTTTTGGGCTTTTTAGTGTTTTCCAAAGTGATTATCCATCTTTAGAATGAAGGATTATTTGCCCTTTACTTCATACTTCTGGTGATACTCTTGTATAGTATTATAAGGATGCATTATTGAAATTATGACACCAGCTGTTTTCTGGTTGGCAGAGTTTTTAGTAATTCTAGATAGTCATGAGTAGGCTGTGATAAGACAGACACTTTCACTTAACAGTTCATGGCAAGAGCTTTCATACTCTGCATAGATGCATTGGATAGATCTAATCTGAATTCTAGTTCTAATAGATAACTGCGCTGGATTCAGCAGGTTGTTTAACTTCTCTATGCTCAGATTCCACATCTTTGATACTAAGATTATGATAATTGACTTTATGGATTGAACTTGGGAAGTGACCAGCATCATAAGTGCAAAGAACTTCACAGAGAGCATGCGTGGTTATATGCTGTAAGAGCTTCACTTAGTGTTTTTGAAAATAAAACAGCTGAAAAGCAGTCAAATTAAATGTGAAGTGTAAATTTCAATGTGAAAAATACAAAATAAGGTCAGGTTTAGATAAATTTATTTCCTTGACTAATCCGCTTTGTGAAATAACGTAGGGGGCGCCTGGGTGGCTCAGTCGTTAAGCGTCTGCCTTGGGCTCAGGTCATGATCCCAGGCTCCTGTGATCGAGCCCCTCATCAGGCTCCTTGCTCGGCAGGAAGCCTGCTTCTCTCTCTCCCACTCCGCCTGCTTGTGTTCCTGCTCTTGGCTCTCTCTCTCTCTGTCAAATAAATAAAATCTTGGGGAAAAAAAAAAGAGAGAAATAATGTAGTAATACCATTCACTTACCGTTACAAACATTGGAAAGGCATTTACACAAACACAGCATTTTAATTTGTATTCACTGTGTTACTGGTGTAACTCTTACTAGCCTTCAAAGAGAAATAAAACCTTCAGTGACTAACCACCTGTATTTTCCTGTATCTTTTCAGTAATGTATCCTGCATATGCAAAATGGGTGCAGTCACACAGAGATCTGCCCATCCGACTCAATCAGTGGTGTAATGTGGTGGTAGGTACATACTCTTTCTTATGTTCTTTCATTATTCTTTATACTCAATTTTTTTTTAAAGCACATTTTTTTTCCTTATTTTTATATTCAAAGGATTGGGAGAATGGCATGCATTTTTTATCACAGTTATGGATTACAATTATGATTTCTGGTTACTTGCCACATTAAATTGTTAATAAAAATGGAAAAGCTCTCCATAATGATCAAATTGTGTTCTTGCCTCGGGGCGCCTGGGTGGCTCAGTTGGTTGGGCGACTGCCTTCGGCTCAGGTCATGATCCTGGAGTCCCGGGATCGAGTCCCGCATCGGGCTCCCTGCTCGGCGGGGAGTCTGCTTCTCCCTCTCCCATTCCCCGTTTGTGTTCCCTCTCTCGTTTGTGTTCCCTCTCTCGCTGTGTCTTTCTCTGTCAAATAAATAAATAAAATCTTTAAAAGAAAAAAAAAAAAATTGTGTTCTTGCCTCTTCCAGCGTTGGGAATTCAAACATCCTCAGCCTTTCCTACGCACTCGTGAATTCCTTTGGCAGGAAGGGCACAGTGCATTTGCTACCTTTGAAGAAGCAGCAGAAGAGGTATAAAAAGTCGTCTTCCATATTAATTATGTTCCATTTCTTTCTCCAGGCTGTGCTTTTTCCCCCCACCAACTATAAGTAATGCAGTGTTATCTACTTAGATAATAATCATTTAGTAAATAACTCTGAGTTGAAATTTAATCTGATCTCAAAATAACTTTAAAAGATAATTTCCTGGTATAATTATTTTGTTACTCAAAATTTATGTACCACCTGTTAAAAGAAAAATAAAAAAGTTAATACAGATATACACAGACTTAAGAAACTGCTTAAATGAAATTTTATTAGAAAATGTGCTGTTTTAAATTTTCAGATGAAAATATTTTTGCACTTCCATGTATGGAGGAAATTATGTATGGAAATTATAATCCCAGGGTGAAATTAATTATTCTTCAGATTTTCACCTTGGTTACTAGAGATAAATATATATATATGCGGTATATATATATATGCATATATATATTTATATTCTTCAAAAACATTTTTTTCTTATATTCTAAATTTATGAACATTTTAAAAAGTTACTCAACTTCTTTTCCACTACTTTGTTGAATGTCTTCCTTAATAAATACACACTGGCTGCTTTAACCTTTCCGTAAGAAAAGGTTTTCATTGTTTGATGTACTTTTGCCACCACAGTTAGTTTTAAATAGTATAGTTTTATAGGTCTGTAAGAAATAAATATACCATATATTTGAACTTTCTTATTTAAAATGTTGTTACAGGTCTTGCAGATACTTGACTTATATGCTCAGGTATACGAAGAACTCCTGGCAATTCCTGTTGTAAAAGGCAGAAAGACTGAAAAGGAGAAATTTGCAGGAGGAGATTATACAACTACCTTAGAGGTGTTTATATCCGCTAGTGGAAGAGCCATCCAGGTACCAGCGAAGTGCTGCATAGGGTTCATAGGGGACTGTACGCACAGCCTGTGGGCACATCCAGTAGACTTCTGTCACCAGAGAAGTAGACTCTTTCCAAAAAAAATAAGTATATTTCATGTGCCTTCTAGACCATGTTATAATTTCACGCTTATCTATCCCATTTTTCCAAATCTCTAAGGTCAGTTAAGTGAAGGCTTGTATCCTGAATTACCAAAGCATGGATTCTTTTTTAACCTTTGTAGTTGAAGTTATTTCTATGAAAGTGGCTGCCCACAGCAGTACGTTTCTGTACTTTTTTTTTTGACTAATCCTAGTCTTTTTGTTGTATCATTTATGCTTTAAAAACTTAATATAAAAAGAAAATCAAGGAACATGTTTGGTGTCATTTTAAGGTGTATGATCTTACAGAAATCATTTTCAAAGGCATAATTAGTTATTAAAATTAACGCTTCTATTTCTCTGTTTTAGGGAGCAACATCACATCATTTAGGGCAGAATTTTTCCAAAATGTTTGAAATTATTTTTGAAGATCCCAAGACACCAGGAGAGAAGCAATTTGCCTATCAAAACTCCTGGGGTCTGACAACTCGAACTATTGGTGTTATGACCATGGTTCATGGAGACAACATGGGCTTAGTATTACCACCCCGTGTAGCTTCTGTTCAGGTAAGGAAACTGTTTCTGTTCATGAGTCTTTCTGTAAAATACAGTCTGGACCTTAGTATTGTGTAACCTTGTGTATCATTTCTGGGTTTTTTTTGTCTTTTAATTTTTAGCTGCTTTTATACAAAACTTTTTTAGAAATCATTTTTTGAAATGATTCATAATAAGTTTAATGAGATATAGTAGGTCAAATGAAAATGCATTTAGCCTAGACAAGTAATGTGCAGCTGGTTGGTAGACATTCCATAAAGATTAGAAATCACACAAGTTGATCTGTGTTAAAATTTATAGTCCCCAGTAGGTTTTGATTCCTGGGTATCATGCAGCCAACATGACCACATTACTTTGTATGCTGTTTTCTTGTATAAATTTGTGCTATTGTGCTGGTTCTAGGTGATGGTTATTCCTTGTGGCATTACCAATGCGCTTTCTGAAGAAGACAGAGAGGCTCTGATTGCAAAATGCAATGATTATCGAAGGCGGTTACTCAGTGTTAATATTCGAGTTAGAGTTGATTTGAGAGAGAACTATTCTCCAGGTTGGAAATTCAATCACTGGGAGCTCAAGGTAAATTCTTTAGTTGCATCTTTTACTTCTGTACTCCCAATTTGGATTTAGATTTTCTTAACATATGCTTCTATAAAATGTAAGGCTTTCTCATTACTTTTCTCTATTTGGATAGTTGTGAATTTTTTTCTTCTTCACTTGAATTGCACTTAATTTTCACACAGTCCAGATCTTTGTAATAGTGATAAAGTTTATATATTTGCTAAATTTAAAATCTTTTTTGTGGAAGCTTATTTTTATTATGTTAGAATTAAAATGATCTTGAAGACCTTGTATATGATTAATAAACCTCATAGGGTTGTTATACCAAAATGTTTATACCAGGAATTCACATAATAAGTAAGCTACTTAAACAGTAAGACTATCAGAATACTGGTGCATGGTTACCACCTACCTGTCATGGTTAACAGCTGATCAGGAAAACATCAGAAAGTAATATATTTGATTTTCCACACCGCATTGTTTCACACCCATTTGTTGATTTTTATTTTGTATATTAAAGGCTAAATTCTGATTTAATATTTTTGTTTTTTAAAATATTTTATTTATTTATTTGACCGAGAGACACAGCGAGAGAGGGAACACAAGCAGGGGGAGAGGGAGAAGCAGGCCTCCCGCCGAGCAGGGAGCCTGATGTGGGGCTCGATCCCAGGACCCCGGGATCATGACCTGAGCCACAGGCAGACGCTTCACGACTAAGCCACCCAGGCGCCCCCGATTTAATGTTTTTAATATAAATTTCATTTATTGCACATTGTCATTAGTAGATGATCTTTATTTTTAATTCCATTTTTCAAACTTCTGGAATTTATTTTTTTTTTATATGGTTTACCAAGGGAATCTTACTAGATTAGCAGAATTTCTAAACTCACATTACAGGAAATAGATGAGAAGATGTAGTGATATTGCAGCTCCAAGCTGATTCCAAGTATGGAAGCTCAACAGAATTGGGATTATTCAGTATGAACACATACAGGGTTCCCAAAGTTGCTGGTATTTATACCTCTGTTTCTTTTAATTGGCCCCTAAGGTAAATCTTTTATGATTTTGTTTCCCTTCTGTATAATACACTTTTTCCTTTACTTACTTTCCTACCTTTAATGAAGACTTTAAAGATAAGTGTTTCCTCACATAATTTCCCTTTAATTGCAGTGTTTTTTGCTTACTTAGAAATAGCAGTTGTGTGTTTCCAGCAGCAGCTTGTCTGAGCCCATGTGCCCTTGCCTGAGGTTCCAAATGTTAAAGGAGAAACATATTCTTTGCTACTGGCTGGAGTGAGAGGAGAGAAAAAAGCATCCATAGTCACTTCTCCTTCTGTCATCCTCCTCTTCCATCTCACTTCTCCCTCTAGGACTGACTTGACTTTGTCCCTGTCACTCTTTTTTTTAGTAGCCTGACAGGCCTATACTGTGAAGGAGATACGGAGTGTGAGTAGGCTCTGCTACAACTTCCTTGTCCACAATTGTCAGGAAAGAAAACAGAACACCTAAATTCTAAACTTGATGCCCAAGATTAAAGAACAGTGGGAGGGGTCACTAGTGAAAAGTACTCATGGCACTTCTTAATGCCATTTTATCTCCATTTAGTCCAAGAATTCCTGAGAAAAAGTATTTTAGAAGATCTAGATTCGTATTCATTTGGTAGTTTAACTTTGTACAACGAGGCAGCTCGGGGGTGGGGTGGGATGTGTATATATTGGGAGACTCGGTTTCGTAACTGGGGTATATGGTGTAGTTATCAGACCAGAACCCAGGGACTCCACAACTTCTTTATACCTCTTCCTGTATACTTCCTGAAAGTAGAAAGGGGAAAATAATATGAGTGAATTAACTACTTTTCTTTTTACTGTGTTGGATGACTGAAGAGAATTGCTACTGAAAAGAAAAACGAGCAAACAAAAAATCCTTTATGAGTAAATTCATAACTTTTTACTTAGAAAAAAATGAGCAACAGAATATATGCCCCCTCTGTGATCTGGCCTCAGATGATCTTTCCGGCCATTGCCACCCACGCCCCTGTGTGAGTGCCCTCCTTATCCCACATGGGCTCTGTCATTCTGTGCCAGGTTATTCTCACACCAAGATGCCCTCTCGCCCAACTCGGGCTTTGATGCCCTGCTCTGAGCTGCCATAGCTCTCCTTGCCCAGTACAGGACCCAGTCCTGTTGCTGTTAGTTGTCATGTCATTTTGGTTTTCCTTTACTCACGAGTAGTTCCTTAGCCTTTCTTTGTTGTTCATGACACGGGCATTTTTGTAGGTATAGGTCAGTTATTTTATAGAATGTTCTTCAGTTTTGATGAAATTACTCATTAATTTTTGCCTTCTCTAGTAACTTTCCTTCTCTCTCTTCCAGCTGTGAGGATAGTCTCCCACTTCTGATTTTCTGTACTGATTATTTGTATTTACCTGGCAAAACGTGAAGCTCCTTGAGGACAGGATCTGTTTCTTCTTAGTCCTTTTGTAAATCTCATTGCATTAACACTGTTACACATGCATACATTAGGTGAATAAAGGAAAAGAAAATAATGATGTAATATTTAGTGTACAGTAATTTGTTCTCTGGTATTCATTATTTTAGAAGATAAGTCTTCTCTAAAGATAAATCTTTTTTTAGAATAACAGTTAAAAATTTTCCTTTGATTTTTATTTGGGGGACTGCCATCAGCTAAACTGTATATTGTAGAGGCTCCTAACTTAAATTTGAAAACCCCAAATTAGTTTTAGAGGATCATTTGCTCAAAAAAACAAAAGTTTAAAAAAATCTACTGTTTGTTAGGTAAGGTTCTAGATCCTAAAAATAAGGTCTCTCTGGGCCTTAATTTCCCTCCTGGAGCATCCATAAGGGTTGAACATTCACAGGCTTAAATTTGGATATAGTCCTTAAGCTCCTTTGTAAAATCCAAACAGAATAGGGGAGTGGTTCCCCAGAGTGCAGTCCCAGCATCACTTGAGAACTTGTTAGAAATATGAATCTTTAGGCCCCATTCCTGGACCTACTGTAATAAGAGATTCAGGGGGTAGAGCCCAACAATCTGTGCTTTAACAAGCCCTTCACTCTGCACACTAGAGTATCCAGAGCTAAGACTTAACCACACTGTTGTGCCGAGAATGAGTCACAGATGTGCCAGGGTGTACTGATGAGTGACTTGGGGCGGCCTTAATTTCAAGAAGACCTCTCTGTTTACTACCTTGTGTGCCCCTACAAATGCAACTTTCTGTGCGTGTCTTATGGGAGGAGAGGTAGGAATATTGATCTAGATAGCACTGCCTTCATGTTTGTCCATTAAACACAACTCTTAGCTCAAAACTGCTTGGGCAGTACATTTTTTTCTTAGGTTTATACGTTCTTATTGGAATAGATTTCTGTAGTATCTCAGGAATATTGCCTGCTGTTTTTATTGTTTGCTTATGCCTTTGATTTTTTGGGTTTTTATGATTTGTAGCGGATAAAGCCATGAAATATTCTGTATCTTCAAGTGGAGACAGGCATGCATCATTTTAACTGCCTTCTTTGTTTTCTAGGGAGTTCCCATCAGACTTGAAGTTGGGCCACGTGATATGAAGAGCTGCCAGTTTGTAGCTGTCAGACGAGATACTGGAGAAAAGCTGACAGTTGCTGATAATGAGGCTGAGACTAAACTTCATGCTCTTTTGGAAGACATCCATGTGAACCTTTTTACAAGGTTAGTTCCTTAGGATTGCTTTTGCCTCTGATCTTGAAACCCTATTCAGCTTTTGAGAGCTGTACTGAGGAATTTTTTGAGTACCCCAGCTGGAAGTCATCTTTCCCTCTGCGCTCCCATAGTTCTTAATTTGTCTCTCTCTTTTTGTGTTTTTGACCTGTATCATGATGATTTTTCCAAGGGTTTTTCTGCCTCCTACTAGGTTTGCCGTGCTGGCCTGTCTGTCCCATGGACTAATTCAGTTTGACTTTAAATCCAGGCTTTTATAACATGTAAATTTGAGGGATTAAGGCATTGATTCTCACCTACTGGATACACGTTAGTAGCACCTAGGAAGCTTTAAAAAAAAATAGCAGTGCCTAGACCCCCTCCGCAGAGATGTTAATTTAGCTGGTCTAGAGTGAATGTGGCAGCTGTAGTATTAAAAGCTCCCCATGTGATTATGACGTGTAGCCAAGGCAAAGAACCTTTTGACTGGGATTGGAGATCTGGGGTGAAAGGAAGCTTCAGGGCTGCACTGGCCTGTGGAGAGGGTTCTTCTAGAATCAGAGGTCTCAGAGCAGAGGCACTAGAAGATCGGTGCATATATGTGGCACTTTATTTTCTTTCCTACCCACCTGAGACAAAGAGGAAGGCCCACTGCCACTTGGGATAGGGGCTTAGTTTGGGGGAAGGTAGTGCCTGCATCTTATTTATTCATATGTCTTCTAATACCTTGTGCCTAACTCATATTAGGCCTCAAATCATGCATTTAAGGAATGAACTAATTTTAGCCTTGGCATTGGTGCTTACGTGTTTTTGGGCAAGTGATTTCACTTCTTTTGGCTTGCTTGCCCTAAAATGAGAATGATGAGTCACTTGACTTCAAGGATTTACTTAGCCTAATAATGAATAGTGCATTTGAAGTCCATCTGAACTGAGAACAGGTCATATTGTCAAGAGGTAAAAGATGAGAAAGCTGCCTGTCCTTACTGCTTCCATTTAGTGCTTTTAGTACACTGGTTCTTTTCTAGGGGTTTCTCTTCAGAGTCACCTGGGAGGTTTGGGAACAGAAACATACCTGAGCCTCACACCTGGATTTTCTGATCATTGGTTTTAAGATTGGTTCTGGTTATCTGTAGCATAAAAATGTTCTGTGTGTGATTCAGATGCATACTCCTGATTGGAAAGCCACTGCTTTCATGGCTAAAAAGCAGTTTTATCTTTGACATTTTTATTCAGCAAATTTGTTAATGTAGGTTTCATAAAGGTGCATTTTTGCCCCACCCTAAGGCTTAAGCCTTATATATTTTTTCTGGATCTCATTGGCTATAACTTATTCAAATGGGTCTGTCCTACTATGGAAAAGTCAGAAGGGGGCACCTGGGTGCCTCAGTCGTTAAGCGTCTTCGGCTCAGGTCATGATCCTGGGATCCTGGGATCAAGCCCCTCATCGGGCTCCCTGCTCCGTGGGAAGCCTGCTTCTCCCTCTTCCACTCCCCCTGCTTGTGTTCCCTCTCTCTCGTTGTCTCGGTCTCTGTCAAATAAATAAATAAAATCTTAAAAAAAAAAGTCGGAGGGGATTTGGTGGAGAGCTAGCAGTTACTGGCGTAGAATTCACATGGTCTTAGTCCTGAGATTCAGAAAATAAAAATATGCCTTCTCTTTCTTGGTCACCACCCATGAATCATCCTCATGTAATGTGTGACTGAATGTAAGAGAGAATAATACTTATTTCCATTTCTAAAACCTGAAGTTCTTAAAAAATAATTATATAGTATATGAAAATAGCGCGAATAATGTGTATTTATGGTTTTTCCTTTTTTAAAACATTTTCATGCCTTTGTGTTTGATTCTCACAATCCCATACGATAGTTAGACTTACTTGAGTTTTTTTCCAATTTTGTAGAAAGGAAAACTAAGACCAAAGAGGTTTTAAAAATAACGTAGACTCTCATAGATGGTAAGTGGTATAGCCAGGGATGGAATGTTGGTCAGGAGAGATTTAATGGCAATAACAAAAGTAATTATTGCCTGTTGTGTGCTTGGCAAATTCTCCTTTCATCTAGTGTTAATAGTAATGCAGTGATGAGTTAACTGAGATTTACTGCTAGCAACAAAGTTGAGATTCAAATTGAGATGTTCTCACTTCAGGTTATTCCTCTTTTGTTAAATTATGCTTATTTTTTTTAAAAAAAACTTGGTTGTATTGGTAAGAAAAAATATGTATTCTTTTGCAATTATATTTTGATAGGGCTTCTGAAGACCTTAAGACTCATATGGTTGTGGCTAATACAATGGAAGACTTTCAGAAGATGCTAGATTCTGGGAAGGTAAGAGACTTCTGAAAAGTTTTGAATATAAAAATATTTCAGCTATGGTATTTTAAGACTCACTGAATTTATGCATGATATTAATCCCTTTTTCAGGGCCAGTCACACGCCAGGGTTATATATTACTCCACATTCTGTCCTCTCTTTTCCTTTGGCTTTCCTAAAGCATTACAGCATTATATCATTTTTGGATAACACTGTGAACTGATTATGTAAAAGCTTTTTCTCATGCTTGAAATGCTGGCTAAACAACATTCATTCTGTACGACCCCTAATGTTTTAATTACTGAAATTTTTCATTTTGTTGTTCAGCTTGAATTAGGTTCTTGAAGTAAGCATTGTTGTAATGTAATGTGCATATTCCTAAAATAAGGTTAAAAGGTCCATTTCAGAAATTTCAGTTCTCTGACCGTGTGTGTGTGTGTTTTTCCCTGATCTTAATTGATTGAACTTTTCTGAATAATAAGGGGGAAAGTACTGCTCATGTTTAAGCCTGTTTTTCAGAATGAGTGGGTACTTCAGGCTCCTTTAAAAGACCCAGGTATGGGCGCCTGGGTGGCTCAGTCGTTAAGCGTCTGCCTTCGGCTCAGGTCATGATCCCAGGGTCCTGGGATCGAGCCCCGCATTGAGCCCCATATCTGGCTCCCGGCTCAGCAGGAAGCCTGCTTCTCCCTCTCCCAATCCCCCTGCTTGTGTTCCCTCTCTTGCTGTCTCTCTCTGTCAAATAAATAAATAAAAATCTTAATAAATAAATAAAAGACCCAGGTCTTTCTAATTAGGTACTTTGGTGGTTCTTTAAGATTTTATCAGTTTTATGTGTTCTGAGTATGCAGATGTTCCTAGCTGAAACTTTCAATTTTCATAGTGAAGAGGTCCTGATTTGCAAAATTACTAATTACTGGAGTGAATCACTTACGAACTTTAGTATTCTAGTATTCATGCTTGATTATACAACCAGTCCTGTGTTCTCAGGTTATAAATGAGGAAACCATGGGCCAGAGTCTAAATGAATTACCTTGACCTCTACAGAGGCAAACTTGCTCCTAGAATTTAGATCTCTCTCCTGACTCATTTTAATGCACTTTCCTCTGTATCTTTTTGTTTGCTTGTTTTAATTTTTTTATTTTTAAGTAACCTCTACACCCAGCATGGGGCTCAAATTCAGCCCCAAGATCAAGAGTTGCATGCTCCACTGACTGAGCCTACAGGCACCCCTGTTTGTTTTTAATTCATGCTGAGAATATAAGGCAAAATTTTAATTGGTTAGGGTCATAACCTCTCAATATGTCTCTTATTGCACGAGCTGGGACAGTGTTAATCTCTTTGGCTCTCAGTTTACTAATCTGTAAAATGGGAGTATAAGGTAGATAATCTTAAAATCCCCTTCAGATCCATAATTCTTCAGTATTTAGCTTTCTATTCTTGGTTTATTACCTTTGTGATCTTCCATCTTTCTGGTTTCCATAATTTGTCACTTGACTTCCAATAGAAGTCTAGAGAAATGGAGAGCCATCTATCCGATGCAGTGGTTTTTTTTCTTTCACTGTAATTTATCTATGATTATTTTATTTTTGTTCTATTACTGAATTTTAAAATTTCATTTATTATAGAAGTATTATAGTAGTCACTGTTGCAGTACAGTCTGGTAAAGATATTTACGTAAGAGTTAATAAATCAATAGAGTATCAGTTAATCCGTTGTTTTCAAAGAAATGAATCTTAGCAGGTCTTAGAGTCATATCTTTTATTCTGATATTAGGTCGGAGATTTCAACATCTATTCTAAAGCACCAAGTAGTATATTAGCTGTATGTCCAAGGAGCACATGGGAGATTAGAGGAGACTTTGTTTTTTGTATTCGGGAGTCAGTTCCACCCCCATCTCACCCCATGTTGTGCAGCTTCGATGAGTTGACTGAGCATCAAGCAACCTTTGAGGCTGTTGTAAATAAAACTGTATTTACTAGGTGGGGAGAAGGAGAAAGGGATCTTTGGAACTTTAATGTAGGTGAAAGTTTGATTTTCTACTCTTCTTTGTTGGTAAAATGAAAAAAAAAACAAACTATCTGATTCATAAAATTTGAGTAAATTTTTCCAAGGGGATGATCTTAATTAAATGAAAAATAAATGTTATTTATATATAATTTTTTTTTACCATTGACATATACTAACCTGTTGACACTATGAGTATTGATATTTCTCATCATTAACATTTTCTGCTACAGATTTCAAGATACTATACATTGCAAAAAATTGTATCTTTTTGTAGCATAGATATAGAGATAATAAAAAATAAAAGTTAAAGATCTTTCTGTGGTTGAATAAACAGCCTAAAACTGTGTGTTATCCTTTCATATTAATGAATTACATGCATAAATAGGAATTCCAGATCTTATCACCTACACCTTACTTTGAAGCAACAAAGAATTAAAACATGGGTTTTTACAAAATTGTCATTTATGAATCTAAATAACTTCAGTTGAATTTTTTCATGCTATATCATTATTTTAAGTTTCAAAAATTTATTATTTTAGGGACGCCTGGGTGGCTCAATCAGTTAAGCATCTATCTGCCTTTGGCTCAGGTCATGATCTCAGGATCCTGGGATCGGGCCCCACATCGGGCTCCCTGCTCAGCGGGCAATCTGCTTGTCCCTCTGCCCCTGCCCCTGCTCGTGCTCTGTCTCTCTCAAATAAAAATCTTTAAAAAAATTTAAAAAAAAAACAAAAATTATTGTTTTAGAAATACTTTCTCAAGGCTCAGTAATTTTTTTCTTAGGGAAAAAGAAAATAAGGCCATTTACTGTAAAATTTGTTAAAGTTACAAAAATATAGCTGTGTGTGGGTTAAAAATAAAAGTAAAAATTTCTAAGAAACCAAATTTAAATTTATTACCCGAAGACATTCTTTGTAATTAAGTCTTAATATTTTTATCATTTCACAGTGACCATGGTTGAAGT